ATGATGATGATGATGATGATGATGATGATGATGATGATGATGATGATGATGATGATGATGATGATGATGATGATGATGATGATGATGATGATGATGATGATGATGATGATGATGATGATGGTTATGGTTATGGTGATGACTACGAGGAGGACGACGATGAGGAGGATGAAGATGATGATGATGAAGCTGCCGGGAGCAGGTGGGGCAAAAGCAAAGCGCAGGGGCGAGGGAAGAAGCGGAAGAACAGCAACAGAAACAAGCACAAGAACAAGAAAAAGAGCAAGGGGAAGAGCAAGAGCGGCAGCAGGCATGGAAAGCAGAAGCAGAAGAAGAGCAAGAAGCAGCAGCAGTCAGACTCCCCAACAGCCAAGCTTCTGCGAGTGCGGCAGGCGCTCTGGCGGGTGGCAGCCAAGGCAGTAGAAGCAATTGCCAGGGAGCGTGCAGAGGCAGAGAAGCAGTTCGTGCACGTGGGGGCCATGCCTCAGTACTTGGCTCGGCAGGAGATCAGGAGGGAGAGCGAGGCAGACGAGGTGAATGGCGGAGTGGAGGTGCTGGCAGGGAAATACAAGGACCCCAGTTTTGGCGTGTCGGTGTGGCGAGGAGGGATTGTGGAGCCCAACCTGCTAGCTGTGTACGCTGCTGTGTGGTACTACCTCAAGCACCAGTCAGGTGAGGGTTGCTACACTCAGGTGAGGTGGATGGCGGAGTGGAGGTGCTGGCAGGGAAATACAAGGACCCGAGCTTTGGCGTGTCCGTGTGGAGAGGAGGGATCGTGGATGGAGCCGAATCTCATGGCGGTGTTTGCTGCTGTGTGGTACTACCTCAAGCACCATTCCGGTGAGACTCGCATGTGAGTGTTGGTTGAATGAGGGGAGGAGGGGATGGGGGGAGGACGAGGGATGAGAGAGGCGAGCAACGGGGTGTGTGTGTGGTTAGGAGTAGCGGCAGGGGGTATGGAGGGAGAGAGCGAGGCGGACGAGGTGAATGGCGGAGTGGAGGTGCTGACAGGGAAATACAAGGACCCGAGTTTCGCCGTGTCTGTGTGGAGAGGTGGGATCGTGGAGCCGAACCTGATGGCGGTGTTTTCTGCTGTGTGGTACTATCTCATGCACCAGTCAGGTGAGAGCTGCCGGGTGAGCTTTGAACGGTGAGTTTGAATCTGAGAGTCTATCTTTCCGGCATTCCTGTGTGGAGCCGAGCCGAGCTGAGCCGAGCCGAACCTGTCGGCCGTGTTCGCTGCTGTGCGGACTACATGGAGCGATGATTATTGGGTGTTAAGGTGTTACTTTTATAATTATTGTATTCCTAATAGTACATTGAAGGGAGTGTGCAAACGTGTTGGCTGTGTTCGCTGCACGTGGTACTACCTCAAGTCACGTTTCCACTCCTTCCCCTTCACATTATCTCCCCTCCCTCCACCAGAGCCCCCGGCCGACATGGCCAAGTCAGTGCTGTATCTGGGCTGGGGAGGGTCCAACAGTGGCTGTCGGGACCCACATGTTGATAGCCAAATCATGCATTCACCCCTCACTCTTTCTCTGCTCTCTCCCCTCCCTCCGTCAGAGCCCCCATCGGACATGGCCAAGTCAGTGCTGTACCTGGGCTGGGGGGTGAGCAACAGTGGAGTGAGCAACAGTGGCTGTTAACGCAGACATGCTGATAGATAGCCCAGACACATTTCCACTCCTTCTCCTATATGTTCTCTCCCTTCCACCCACCAGAGCCCCCATCGGACATGGCCAAGTCAGTGCTGTACCTGGGCTGGGGGGTGAGCAACAGCGGCTGTCGGGACGTGGCCTCTCCCTTCTCCAATGTGCTGCCCGCCCTGCAAGCAGCGGCCGACACCGTTCGTCTGCTAGCGCAGGCGCGGCTGCAGCAGATGCCGACCAGCATAGAAGAGGACGAAGCGATCCTGAGGGAGCTGGAGCGGTGCAAGAGCGGCGGGAAGGCGGGGGAGAGGGAGAAGGAGGGGGTGAAGGGTGGGAAATTGGGCAAGGAAGGAAAGAAGAAGGTGGCGCAGAGCAAGCAGCAGCACAAGGAGAAGTTGACAAGCGTGGAGGAGGAAGTTTCTGCGAAGCGTCTTAGCCGGCACCGGCGCCGGCGTGCTGTTAGCGAGGGGAGGATCAGCGACGACTACAGTGATGATGACAACAGCGAGAGCGACAACAACGAGGAGGAGGAGGGGACGGATGCTGATTTCAAGAGCAGGAGCGAGGAAGAGGAGGCGATGGACTGCGACGCGTGGGAGAGAGAGCAGGCCAGCGGGGAGAGCGAGGAGGAAGGCAGCGGGTCGGAGAATGGGAACATCGGCGGCGGTAGTAACGGGGGTGCGAAGAGGATGACTGTGATGGGGGTGCGGTGTGGGTGTGAGGAGCTGAGGGCTGAGGCGGATGAGCGGATGGTGGCGGTGCGATTCCGGAAGGCCAAGAAGGCGGTGCTGAAAGAGGTGGTGGACCGGCTAAGAAAGGTGTGCCCCGCCTCCCCCACTGCTTTCCTCTGAAATGACTTTTAAGCCGGCTCAAAAGTCACTTCGTTTTGAGTCGACTCGGAAGGCTAACGTAAGAAGGCGGTGATGAAAGAGGTGGTGGACTGGCTAAAAAGGCCTGCCTGCCCTGCCTCCGCCACTGCTTTTCTCTGAAATCCAACTCCAGGGCCTCTTTTAATTCCACACCTGATCTCCTTGTGGTAATCCCTTCCTGGATTCCTCGTAGTACACCGCACCCTGTCATGGGGGGTCGCAGATAGCCGTCCACCTGTGGTCTTTGTTTTGCGCGGAGACTGTGCCAGCCAGCTGGCAGGCATGGGGGGGAGGAGCATCAGAGGGCACTGTGCGGCGAGCTGGCAGAGCCACTGTTTGTTGTCGCTGCCTTGTTTCACTTGTCTCTGATGCAGCTCACCATGCTTGGTCGTTTGGCCGCATTGCTACCACTAGATAGTGATACAGTAACCCAATTTGGAGCTGCTTTTTACATTGAACTTTCAATAAGTGTTTACAACAATCACCACACCAATACTTGTGTTTTGACAGCTGGAGCTGCCCGTATCCCGCTTTAGATACCACTGGAAACACCTGGAAACATAAAAATATGATCATTAGCAGGAGGCATACCAGTAACACAATGTCACGTTCCCTGTACTTCGACGAATCATCCCCACCAACCGATTTGCACACCACGCCTTCATCTTCCCGCTTTATGACACTACCCACAATGCTTGAGCTAAGCAAGGCTGCTTTTTCACCTCCCGAAATTAGGGCTTAGTCTATGGCATCGGGTCGCGTGACCTGCTCCACCAACTCCCTCACAATCAGCCGCTTCGGCGGGAACGATAGCCTCTGCTGCAGCTCAGGCATCCGCCACTGGCGCTGCGAATGCGGCAGCCCGACGCGCCGACGCGCCGCACTCGCAGGCCGACGCGCCGCACTGGCAGCGGAAGTTGTCACTGGACGGTGCGGTTGGCGCCTGAGTTAGTAATGCTACCGTAGTCGATGCTCAACTCTTCGCCTGGCGCGATGTCCCGCAAAGCCACCACCGTCACCAAGTCTTCTTCCATTCCACAGTTTGGGTCGCTCGAGTGGTTGATGAGTTCGGGCGTCTCGGGCCCACGCGTCGGATCTGGTTTCTGCCCGTTTAACGACTCAGATTCGTTTATTTGCAGCGAGAGCTGTCGCGTGCGTTCGTCGCCGACAACCTCGCCGGCAACCTTGCCGGCGAAAACGAGAACCCGTTCCCCGCGTCCAATGCTCGCCAATGCAAACAGCCCCTTGGAGCCGTCCGCGCCGCCCTTGTAGCGCGGAATTACGCGCGGATCGTACTACCCCGACTCGGCCATCTTCCGCTCGATATAGGCCGAGCAGTGGCCGGCGTTTCGCTGCTGCCAGTCGCGCGAGCGCCACTCGGAAAATTTGAGCGTGCCGCGGCAGCTCGCGGCGCCGCAGCGGCAGAGCAAACCGGCGTGCATGCTACCCTCTGTTTCCGTGGTGGCGTAGTCGTACGTGACTTGCTCGCCCGGTTGAATGTCGCGCAGGGCCACCATGCAACGTGGGTTGATGTACCACGAGTTGGGATCGCACGAGTGGTTGTAATAGAGGCTCGGGTCCTCGTCGGGGTCGGTTGTCGTGTCGTACACGTCGTCCTCGACCATGTACGAATATCGAATCATGAAATCGCGCTTCTCCTTATCGGGTACCGCCAATAAGTCATGAGCGTGGTAGTACACTCGCCGCTCTTCTTCCTCCAGGTCCCAATCGCAAACGATCTCGCCTTGTGCGATTAATCTGCTCGCAAACAGCCCGCGGCATTGGAAACCGTAGAGCTCGTGCTCTTGCACGACCATGTGCGGGTGGAGACCCATGCTGGAGGATCAGGAGCGAGTGGGGTAGTACTGGACGTGCAGTTTGATAACTGGGAATGCTCTGAGAGCTGATTTTCCTTGCTGAGAACTGTAATGTACATGCTCTGTATTATACAGTATCGCCGCTGAATCATGTGGAGGGTCGGCACGATGTTGCCGTGCAAGAATCTCGAGGACCCCATGGAACAGAAACAAGTCAGGCATCTCATCTAGAGGTGATGGAAACAGAAATTCCGCGGATTGTGCGGTGGTGAAAGTGAGAGACGGCAGCTATGGGTGTACACCTAACGCTCGCCAATTTCACGTCCTGCAACTGGTTTCGAGAAACACTCCTAACCAGATTTTGGCTTGTGCAATGAAAGTCCAGAATTTGAGGGCATGAATGGTTCCGTAACTCCCGTGATGCCATAAAACGACCTCATGCTACCACAGCGCATTGACCGTTTTTTTCATTGCTATCCACTCAATATATACTGAGCACCAAGCTCCAAGCTCATATATACTGGGTTGCACGTACCCTCTCTGAAATCGAATGCCTTAATAACAACCCACTAGTTCGGGTAAACCATGAATCATTGCCTAATGGTATAAAATTGGTGGTAGGGAATTTGGCGAGTTTTAGGTGTACATATCATGCAAGAAAAGTGGAGAGCGAGACATTGCCGATAAGATGTTAGGGGGACAGAAGCATGGCATATTTTTCCGCCTCATGTCGTTTTTCTAAATTGAACGGTGCGCATTGTAAAATTGTGAGACATTTGGGCTATAAATCAAGGCCGAATCTTTCAAGGCATGAATGGCAGATCACAGCAATTAAACCTGATGCGCATTAGACGTACGCAACATTCGCCTTATCAAAGTGTGTGAAACGCACATGCTTTTCCGCCCTACTCGAAAAAAAAAACCATCCCAAAAAATTAGCGTGGCGCATGCCACCTTTAGGGGCGGCGGTGAAGTGCAACGAGCAAATACATTTCGACATTTTCGTAGATTTTGCCATGGGAAAAATGGGACAATAATGAACCTAAAAGTTACAATCTCTAAATATCTTAAGATTTAGGGATGACATCTTTTGGTATGTATGGGCACTTGTGCAATTGTATATGTATTTTTTTTTTGCATTTTCGCCAAAATGTTCTTGTAGACGAGGGGCCATTGGCCGTGTTGGAATGCACGAGAAATATCTTACAATTGGGGACTGGCAAATTCAAGGGATTGGCTGAGCATCACCAGATTGGGTCTAGTAGCAATTAAAAATAAATAACGAAGAGACGGATGACAACGGGATAAACCGATTCATTAACAGCTGCAATAAGAAAAAAATGGCTTGTATTACACGTGCAATTGGTCGTGCTGAATTGCAAATGGGAAAGCAAAGTGAATGGGTAGAGCAAATTCGCGTGCATTTTCTTAGTATCATGTATACAACCAATTTTTACGTAGATGTGACGTTATCCTACCCATCAACTTTGATTTCAAGCGCGTAAAATTGCTACAGTTCCTTGGCAGTATTGAGATTTTGCTTTTAATCGTCCCTTACGGATAGGTGTTGTAAGCATAAATTACGACAATTCATTTTCGCTGAATATCTTACATAACCATTCTATAATGTTCATTGACCGTCCTGTTGCGTAGCGCACCACTTTCGATCACATTGGTGCGACATCCACTAGAACGTGGTTGATAGACCGCTCCTCGACGCGGTGCATTTCCACAAACATAGATTTCAGTGTTCCTGCATACGATCGTCAAAACACATGGTGACCACAATTCGCAGTGTAAGGTGCGATAGATGTGCGCGTCACACTACGGGTGGAAAAAAAAGTTGTGGTGAAACAACTGAATAAGTGCGGATCCAACATAAAATGCGCGTTTGAAAACATTGTGTGAGTTTCAAACAGTAAGAAGGTGTCTCAAATGTCTGAGTACACTGTGGAATCATAAAAGAGAGAAGAGGGGCTGCACTAGCAAGAATGGGGATACAAATAGGAAACCCTAGAAGGGTTGTACTCGCTATAGAGCACCCCACTACAGGCTAGAGCATAAGATAACATTCTGACACACCCCCATAGCCAAAGTGGGGTGTAATCAGCAGAGCAAGCAAAGCAGTACAAGCTCAGGGTGGATCACAATGTCACCACACATTCTGAGCACAAGTTCAAGAAGCAATAGTTTAAAGTTAACAATTATGAGCAAAGCTAGTGGTAGTCACAGCGGGCAAGTGAGGAGGAGGAGAAAGAGTGAGAGGAGAGGAGATAGGAGGCGACGGATGAAGCTGCAGACACACGGGCAACAGGAGGCACACTGGCACAGCGGCTACCGGAACAACGCTCCGGAATACTGGAGTAACTGGCCCCGCGGCTAAAGTAGCGGCAGACGAGCAACGGACCCACGGGCGGTTGGCACAGCTGGCTACGACTGGGCTACCGGACGAAGTCCCCGGAATACAGGTGCTGCTGGCGACACGACGGCAACCTCCATTCAGCTTCCCCAAACTATCCCACTCCCCCCTGGCACACACCCGCTGCTACACCGCTAGCTCCACTCCCCCTTCACCCCCCCCTTAGTACCACTCCACCGGCTCCAACACGTCCACCCCCCCTCAGCGGCAGCTGCAGCACTAGGAGACGGAGGAGGAGGAGGAGCAGGGAACGGTACAGAGTGAAGTCCCCCCCATACCCCTCACCCCCAAACCCTAATGCAGGAGAATGGGGAGTAGGAGGGGTGGGGCGCCAGTAGAAGCATGGGGGATAGCAGGGAGGGCAGGGGCAGCAAGGAACGGGCCCACAACGGGCCTGGTACAGTCGCCCGAGCCGCGCGCAGGCGGCCTGAGCCGCGCGCGGGCCTGGCGCCGCCTGTTCGGGCCGCGCGCGGGCCTGGCGCAGCCCGTACGGGCCGCGCGCAGGCGTGGCGCGGCCCGTACGGGCCGCGGACGGGTCTGGCGCGGCCCGTACGTGCCGCGCGCAGGCTGTACGGGCCGCGCGCAGGCCACGACGGGCGACGGGGGGCGACGCGGAGGTCCCCGTCGCCCGTCGCAGCGCCTCCCGGGAGCGGCGCGCGGCGTGACGGGGCAGTACGGCGGGAAGAGAACCGCCGCGCGCCTCGGGGCGCACGGCGGGCAGAAAATCGCCGCGCGCCTCGAGGCGC